GGAGAGAGACGGAAAAAACCGAATTTTCCCTAACTCGTTTTATTTTTTCCTGACTTGGATTTCAAAATAAATTGCGCATTAACATTACCACTTTCTCTCCTCTACAAAATGACATAATTAGAATTTTATTATGTATCATCCTTTGTCCTCCAGCATAAGCTTTACTTTTTCTTATAGACGCCATATTGGATTTTTGCACAGCTGAATAAAGTTTCTGATTCTAAAAATATATAATATGTAATACGTTAAGGTCGCACGTCCCTTTTTTTCAACTGTGCGTTTGGAGCAGTATTATGAGCACTTATTGTCTGATTATTTCAGGGTGTGTATAAAAATGACTGATTTATGATAATCTCATGTTTGTTTGTCAAAATGACAACTTTTTTATGCCAATTTTTTTACAGTCCCAGCTTCGAAACAAATAATCGTAAAGACATGAAATTAAGTGGCATTATGAATCAATAAAGGAACGTCCTTTATCACTCATTTTCCACATATAATTTATTTTTCGCATAAAAAAATTATTTTTCTTTTGAAGGAAAACGATTTTTTGAAAGTATGTGGATAAAAGACATAAAGAACTGAAAGAACAAGCCATCAAAGAAAAAATCAACTCATTTGCTCAAACGGTTTTTGAGTTGTAGATGTAATTTGACAAATATTTTGGCAAAACCACGCCTCCCGCTGACCACTCCCTCGGCGGAAGATTATTGGCCCTATTTAAGACAGGTGCGTCGTTCGCCATGCTGACTAGTTACCGTGTTGCCACGCGTGTGATTTATTCTTTGAGTACATAAGTGTTGTAGCTGTGATTATTTTCATTGTTTTAAGGGTATTTGGTGCTAATTGGTGTTTTGTTCTAACGTTATTCTCGCAGTTAGTTTTTGTTAAAATGCCAAAATTGCATAGTGTGAAAATTCAACATAAATTCTGAAAAATTTGAAAATCTTGTAGATTTAGAATATTTAGAAAATTTTCAAGAATTTGAAGGTTATAAAATTTTTCAATATTTTGAAAATCATAATAATTTAGAACATTTTATAAATCGAAAAAATTTTGAAAATTTCTAGAATTTCGATGATTTTGAAGCTTGATAAATTTTGAAAATTTCTAAACTTAGATTAGAAGGCGACGTGGTGAAAGGAGGAATCCACAGTTTTTTGTTGAAAGACATGTTCATCACACTGTTGGAGTTATGGTTTGGGGTGCTATAGCTTATGGTTCCAGGTCACCTTTAATCTTCATCAGAGGTAACATGAACGCGCAGCGTTATATCCACGAAGTTCTAGAACCCCATCTTTTACCCTATATTGACATCCTGGCAGATCCAACTTTCCAACAAGATAATGCCCGACCACATGTTGCAAGTCACAATAGACTTCTTTCAACATAATGATGTCACATTGTTACCATGGCCACCAAGATCTCCCGACTTATCCCCAATTGAGCACGTGTGGGATATGATGGGTAGGAGATTGCTCAATTTGCAACGTCCTCCTCAGACTCTAGAAGCACTTCGAGAGGAGTTGGTGGTTGCCTGGAATGAGATACCACAGGAGGACATTGACCACCTGATCAGAAGCATGCCTAGGCGCGTTGGAGAACGCGTAGCACATCAGGGTGCATCCACACATTATTAAAGGTCAAAGGGCTTTAAAGCAGTGCAATCATTTTGAAATTTTTATCATTTACTTATTATGCTTCATTAAGTACTTATACAAAATTTTATTAAAATAAAACCATTTAAACTGGGTGTTCGGATTTATATGTCACTTAGTATATGTATATAATATATATTTTCAAAGAATTTCAAAATTTCAGAATTTTAAAAATTTTTAGAATCTTCAAAATTTAAAAAATTTGTATGATTCTCAAAATTTTCCAAATTTAAAATCTCAAAATTTTAAAAATTTTCATGATTTTCGAAAGTTTAGAAATTTTCAAAATTTATCAAGCTTCAAAATTATCAAAATTCTAGAAATTTTCAAAATTTTTTCGATTTATAAAATGTTCTAAATTATTATCACACGCGTGGCAACACGGTAACTAGTCAGCATGGCGAACGACTCACCTGTCTTAAATAGGGCCAATAATCTTCCGCCGAGGGCGTGGTCAGCGGGAGGCGTGGTTTTGCCAAAATATTTGTCAAATTACATCTACAACTCAAAAACCGTTTGAGCAAATGAGTTGATTTTTTCTTTGATGGCTTGTTCTTTCAGTTCTTTATGTCTTTTATCCACATACTTTCAAAAAATCGTTTTCCTTCAAAAGAAAAAGAAAATTTTTATGCAAAAAATAAATTATATGTGGAAAATGAGCAATAAAGGACGTTCCTTTATCGATTCATACTGCAATCACTTAATTTCATGTCTTTACGATTATTTGTTTCGAAGCTGGGACTGTAAAAAAATTGGCAAAAAAAGTTGTCATTTTGACAAAAAAACATGAGATTATCATAAATCAGTCATTTTTATGCACACCATGAAATAATCAGACAATAAGTGCTCATAATACTGCTCCAAACGCACAGTTGAAAAAAAGGGACGTGCGACCTTAATGACATACGGTTTCAGCAATATGGTGCCACATGCCATACTGCTTATGAAACATTGTCAGTTTTGTACGAGTTTGCTCCTGGTCGAGTCATCTCCCGGTTTGGTGACCAGAATTGTCCGCCACGCTCTTGCGATTTAACACCTTTGGACTTTTGGCTTTGGGGTTATCCGAGGTCACAAGTTTATGCCAACAAGTCTGCAACCACCGAAGCGTTGAAAGCTGAAATCAGACGCTGTATCAACGAGATACCACGACATGTGTTCAAAAATGCTACCACAAATTTTATTAGAAGAGTGCGCGTGTGCCAGCGGAGCCGTGGCAGCCATTTACCTGATGTGTTGTTTCATACATAATTCCAAAGTGTACGTAGTCGTGCCATAAGTTCTGTCCCATGATAATCTCATAATAAAAATGAAACAAGATAAGATATATTTATATGAAAGATATTATTTATTCGACAACATTTTTAGAATTCATAATCAAACAGTTTTATTCAAAATGTCCCCCCTTGGCCTTCACACACTGCTTCAATCTCGCGGGCCACTCATCTATCACTGCACGCACAGCTTCCAAAGGAATAGCTGCCGCTGATCGGATCAAATCCGCTTTCAGGGACTCGATATTACGGTGGGCTTTGGAGCAGGCCAACTGCTCTAGCAGGTCCCACAACTTGAAGTCTAAAGGATTGAGGTCCGGACTCCCTGAGGGCCAATCTTCCGCAGCAATGAACTCTGGCACATTGCTTTCCAGCCAGCGCTGCGTACTCTTAGCCTTGTGAGCGGGGGCGGAATCCTGCTGGTAGACCCAGTGTTGGTTGGCAAACAATGTACCACTTAAAGGCTTGACGATAGGATCCAGTATGTCGCTCTGATAATTTGCCGCTTTTGTTTTCACGCCCTGTTTACAGAAATGGAGCTGAGTGACCCCTTCGTAGGACACCCCCCACCAAACCATGACTGACGCAGGGTGGTGGCCTCTCTCAACTCTCGGAATGATCTCCGAAGCTTCCTGTGAACTCCTTGCATACACTTTGTCATTTTGTCGGTTGAATTTTTCTTCTATGGTGAAGATTTTCTCATCCGTGAACAAAATCTTTCGGAATCCCCCAGCTGCGTACCTCTCCAAGAGCTTCTTGGATCTTGTCGCCCTGATGTGTCGCAAGGTGGCCGTAAGTCGCTGGCCCGTACGTCTCCGGTAAGCCCCTAGCCCTAGGTCTTGTTTAATGATGCGCGACATCGTCCGGACAGGAATCTTCATTTCCCTGGATAGGATCTTCTGCTTCCGGAGTGGATTCCTTTGAATCCTGGCTTTTACGGCTTTGATGGCTGCTGGAGTCCTTACTTGACGAGGTCTTCCGCTTCTTGGCCTGTCATCAACAGAGGACGTCTCATTGTACCGCTGAATGGTCCTAGACATAAATTTACGCGATATTTGAAGGCCGCGTAAGAGTTCAAAAATCTGACTAGCACTGTGATTACACTTATGTAAAGCTATCACTGCAATACGGTTCTCTGCCTTGCCCCACTCCATCGTTATGCTTCGAGAGATCAATACAAACTGAGGTATATGTAATTACCCGAAAAGCGCTTAATCAACTGACACCACAATGTAAACAATCGGACAAGTATTAACAGGTCTACACTTGTTTGAAAACGAGGGACAGAACTTATGGCATGACTACGTATAAATCATCAGCCAATAAATATTTCAGTTGTTTGTTACGAAATACCATGTTTAATAGAACCTTGAAATATTGCGTCCTTATTGAAATGTTGATGTCAGTTTTCCGTTGAAATCGACGGTATTTCCCAAAGGTACATCTTCTATCCCAAATATACTCCAATTAACTTGTAGCCACAGAGGGCGAATGTGAAAATTTTGCGTGGTAGCGGTTTCCACTATTTGTTTTTTTTAATCCGTCATCGATGATCATGTAAGCCCCTTCAAGATGATTCCGAGTGTTTTCTACCGACTGAAGTACCAACCGTAGGCCAAACAAAGCCATAATCCTCCACCCTCCCAGCGGAGCAGTGGCAGCCATTTACCGGATGTGTTGTTTCATACATAATTATAAATAAATAATCCAATAAATATGTCAGTTGTTCGTTACGAAATACCATGTTTAATAGAACCTTGAAATATTGCGTCCTTATTGAAACACCCTTTATAATATGTAATATTTTCTGAGAATTACTAGAATACAGATTACCATGACTTTACTCTCATATCTCATCTTACCCTTTATCGTGAACCCCTTCCCAAAACATGTTTGTATGATTAAAGTATATTCCGTGCTCTATCACATAAATGCACCAACAGTCTGCTTGTCCACACACACTAAATCATCTATAATCGAGTTTTGCTGGGAGCTGTTAAGCTTCCCAAATAATTCATAAAGCTGTTCCTATAGTTTCCCTTGCATTAATATCTTTTCTATTTTCCAGAACGAACGTTACGAAATTCAACATAGGGGAAAATGGGTGAGTCACTGTCCTTACTTATGATACAACTTTTGATTGTCTTCAATCAGCATTTCTTTATCATTTATATGTTCAAGCGAATATAGTAAAACCGAGATTAAACACAAAAGTAGTTTTCTTTGAAATTCTGTCTTTTCCTAAAAATCGAATAAGAAAAGCAAGTCAATAAGACCCAAGCTCCCCAATAGAATAATACCAACAAATTCAAATTAGCCAGATTCTATTGATGCATCTTCCTTCAATGCTTTTAGTTGAATTTTAGGTATAAAGTTTACATCTGCTAAATTTCAGCAAATTCTAAAACCGGCTCAAAGATTATTATATTTGGGCTAAATCAAATTAAAAAAAAAGTTTTGAAACCTATATCCTAAATACGAAGCGTTACCGGGTGTACCTGTATGCTTATTTATCTTCTTAAAATCAACCAAGGAACCATCCTTTGAAGTTAGGTACTTCAAAAACATCCTGTATATTCAAGCCTTCTGAAGGATTTACTGGATATTGATTTTTAATCACACTGTAGTAATTTTTGATATAAAGAATGAATAATATAGAGACGATTTTTTAAAATATTGCACCGTTCCTTGTCTATAAATATTCCTGAAAGTTATATGGGGGGCAAATGTACGGGGAAATCTTTGATGTGTGCAACATGTACCGATAGGTGCGTAAAATGAAGCGTATAAATGTACTGTCGCTAATAAAAAGATATATACCTTCCTCCACCCCAACCTCCGATTTTCAATCCCACAACTTATTTTTTTTGAAAATGATGGGAGCCCTTTGAAACGTCAAAAAACATTTGAGAAACATTTTTTTCATGTTTTTGCCACTAGCTCTGCCGCTACTGAACCGATTTGCAACCTTCCGTTAAAATTTCATCCAAATTCGAGAAGTACTTTGCCAGTTATAGGCAGTCCAAAGATTAGCGGACGAACCGACAGACAGACAGACCAACGGAAATGAGTGACATGGTTTTCGGGGATGTACTTGTCATATAACATCCCCATCACGATTACAATACTTCCTGGCCAGTAAGCGTGAGAAGGAAAAAAACGATTTTAGGAAAATTCGGTTTCTTTCATCTATTTCCAGGGATACTCGGAATTTCGTAACTTTCCAATTGTCATTTTCTTAGTTACTTACCCCCAGTAATAGATGTCATGTTGTGTCATTTAATTTTTATTACTCACTATCATTAATAAAATGCTACTTACATAACAGTGATCACAAAATTCACCTACCTACTTTTCAACAATATCTCTCTTGTTTTCGAAATATAGATCGACCAGTGCAGTATTAGTCGTGGCTTTAATAGAGTAACAAAAAGAAACGGTTTTCCAGATCTAAACAGGATGTTCAACGTAGAAACGACATAATTCATCCATATTTCCAGCATAATTGATATGAAATAAATAAGGAACAAACACCACACATCGCAGTACTGGGAACAGGCACGTGCTAAGAATAGATTTTCACGGGGTAAGCCGCACAAAAGTGCATCCAGGTGTTATCATGCCCACCATAATTCATTTAATAATGCTGCACTAGGATAAACCGTGACAAATGTAATAAATTAACCAAAGAAATCTTAGGAGGGTAAGATAATATTAATGGGGTAGGTGGGTTGCAGTATCTATGACTGGTGCGGGAATTAGCTAATTCATTACAGGTGTTGGGATTTGCTCAAATAGCTAAAGGCCTTTTCAAAAATAGAAAAGATTTTTTTTTGTGGAACTTACATAACTTTGTATAATTATCATTGTTGCTAATGTTTATACATTATAACTATACTAAGTGACATGTAAATCCGAACACCCAGTTTAAATGGTTTTATTTTAATAAAATTTTGTATAAGTACTTAATGAAGCATAATAAGTAAATGATAAAAATTTCAAAATGATTGCACTGCTTTAAAGCCCTTTGACCTTTAATAATGTGTGGATGCACCCTGATGTGCTACGCATTCTCCAACGCCTAGGCATGCTTCTGATCAGGTGGTCAATGTCCTCCTGTGGTATCTCATTCCAGGCAACCACCAACTCCTCTCGAAGTGCTTCTAGAGTCTGAGGAGAACGTTGCAAATTGAGCAATCTCCTACCCATCATATCCCACACGTGCTCAATTGGGGATAAGTCGGGAGATCTTGGTGGCCATGGTAACAATGTGACATCATTATGTTGAAAGAAGTCTATTGTGACTCTTGCAACATGTGGTCGGGCATTATCTTGTTGGAAAGTTGGATCTGCCAGGGTGTCAAGATAGGGTAAAAGATGGGGTTCTAGAACTTCGTGGATATAACGTTGCGCCTTCATGTTACCTCTGATGAAGATTAAAGGTGACCTGGAACCATAAGCTATAGCACCCCAAACCATAACTCCAACAGTGTGATGAACATGTCTCTCAACAAAAAACTGTGGATTCCTCCTTTCACCACGTCGCCTTCTAACCCTGGCACGACCATCGTGCATGCCTAAACAAAATCGAGACTCGTCACTAAAGACGATACTGTTCCATTTCTGATCCCAGAGTGACCGTTGTCTGCACCACTCAAGGCGATTACGACGGTGTTCTCGAGTTAAAGGGAGGACCCAGTGTGGCCGGTATGAAAACAAGCCAAAACTTCTCATTCGTCGGTAAACACTTCGCATGCCAATAGGTCTTCCGTGTTCTGCAAACCATTCATTTGCAATGGACCTGGTAGTGGAGAAACGGTCCCTTAAGGCCAATAATCTTAGGCGGCGATCTTCACGGTCTGTTGTTCTAAGGCGGCGTCCAGTGCCCCTTGCTCTTTGCGTACGGCCTTCTCGAAGCCATGCCTGACAACACCTAACCACAGTGTCTACACTTCTTTGCACTCTAACTGCAATTGCCCGAAAAGAAAGTCCAGCTTCCCGAAGTCCCACAATACGGCCCCTATCAAACTCACTAAGTTGACGAAATCGTACAGGTCTCCGTACTCTAGGCATCGTAACCGATCGTAAAGGATGTCAAGAACCAAAGTCCGCCAACGCTGATTCTTTACTGCGGCTGAAATATTCATTTTTAGAGCGTTAGTGAATTAAAAAAAGCAGTATAAAAACCGGAATGTTCAACTGATAAGGCTGAAAATTTTTTCACTTGTTATTTACAGTAGGTAAGATAAATACATTCACCAACTTTTATTAAAATAAAACCATTTAAACTGGTTGTTCGGATTTATATGTCACTTAGTATATTTTCAGTCAGTTACATGCCAAGCTTCTTGGTTGATGTAGCTCAGTATTTTTAATAAACGTTTGTAAAATGATTTTTAAAAAGTCATCTTTGCAACGGATCCACTTAATTATAGATAAAAAATTACTCACCTCAGAGCGAGGGGCATCATTCTGATATTACTTTGGTTAAAAGTTCGGCGATATATCTGAACCATCCAGTTTAACAACGTTGGTTTAAGTGATATTACACGATTTTTAACTATTAGGATAGAAGGATTCATCTTTTAGAGACAGACGGATACACTGTATAAGGAGGAGGTGTGAAATTGTGCTTTGTGGCTGGGCTCAAGAAATGTTTTATCCATTTTGTAGTATGAGGCAACTGAAAATTATTGACAGAAGCCCAGCGTCTTACGCCAGAAGTATCCCATCTACGATCGATTTCCACACCTATATTTTTGGGACATTTTGAACACTTTTGCACAAAAGTGAAACGTAGAACTGCATAGTATAACTTTTGGGAGCAATTGCTTATTCTGAATAGAACACCCTTTTTCGATTCTACGCGAGATTCTAAATACATTTCATATCCTATACCAACCTAAGTCGATCCGATTTTGAGATTAAGGCTCCGCCATGCTTTTCTTGACGGAGATAAAAATCTCAGAATCTGCACCCATTAACCATCTCAGATTACGAGGTGCACTCCTATCTGAGAAAGAACGGGGGAATTGTGGCTTTTGTCCGCAGCAGTCTTTCCTGCTCCAGACATGTTTCTTTGGAATCAGACCATCAGGACATTCTGTGGCTTCGCCTCAAGTCCAAAACATCCCCCAAATTTATTTGCTGCCTTTACCGCTCTACCTCGGACAATAACTGGGATGACCTACTTGAATACCTCGCCGTCAAGATGGACTTCCTGAACATCGATCACCCCGCTTCAGATGTAGTTCTCCTCGATGATTTCAATGCCCATAATTAGCTTTGGTTGGGTTTACAAGACCGATGCAGCAGGTCGTGCAGTTGAACCGTTCGCTCTTACTCAAGGGCTGACCCAACTGGTAACGAGCCCTACTTTTTCCCCCCGCGTCTCGTCACATGTCATGCGTCCTGTCCCTTACAGCATTGCTATCCTGTTCCCCTGGGTATATCAGACCACGGTGTTGTGGAGGTTAGGTTTCGGTCAGAACCAGCTGTGCCAGCAGAAACTCCCACAGGCCGCAAAATTTGGCATTACGGACATGCCGAATGGGAGGGGCTCAGAGACTTCTTCTCTATCTTTCCTTGAAGAGATGTCTGTTCTTCGATAACCGAAATTATCCACGTCGGAATGGAGGAATACATACCTCATACAGTGAAGGTGCGTAAGCCAGGGTCCAGCGGCTGGTTCAACAAATCGTGTGACACTGCTCGCCAGCAGAAGATCAAGGCCCACAGAACCTTCTTACAAAAACTCCACTATAGAGAACAGACAAACCGACGTCAAGTCCAGGAACAAACATAACGAAGCGGTTCGCAATGCCAAAAACCAGCACGATATAAAAGTGAGGCACAGGGTAATGTCGCAGCGCAATGGCAGTCGATCTTTCTGGGCGCTGGCCAAGCAGATTGAAAAGAACTTCTCGCACAGTAGCCTTCCACCACTTACGTGTCAGGATGGAACTGTTGTAACCGACTCAAAGATCAAAGTGCTTACCAAGATTTTTGCTGCCAAGTCCACCATGGACGTAAGACGGGTGCTATTGTCCCTCGACATCAACAAAGCATCCGGACTTGATTCCTGCCATTGTACTGAAGAGGTGAGCAGCGGAGCTTGCTTCCAGTTCTTCCGCATCTCTTCCAGATATCTTATGAATCCGGCACCTTCCCAGAAAACTGGAAATTTGCTCATGTCCAACC